TACTCCTTTTCCTATTTGGAACCAGTCTGTTGTTCCATGTCCAGTTCTAACTGTTGCTTCCTGGCCTGCATACAGGTTTCTCAAGAGGCCGGTCAAGTGGTCTGGTATTCTGATATCTTGAAGAATTTTCCACAGTTTATTGCAATCCACATAGTCAAAGGTTTTGGCATAGTCAATAAAGCAGAAATAGATGTTTTTCTGGAACTTTCTTGCTTTTTCGATGATCCAGCAGATGTTGGCAATTTGATCTGTGGTTCCTCTGCCTTTTCTAAAACCAGCTTGAACATCTGGAAGTTCTCGGTTCACTTATTGCTGAAGCCTGGCTTGGAGAATTTTAAGCATTACTTTACTAGCGTGTGAGATGAGTGCAATTGTGCGGTAGTTTGAGCATTCTTTGGCATTGCCTTTCTTTGAGATTGGAGTGAAAACTGACTTTTTCCAGTCCTGTGGCCACTGCTGAGTTTTCCAAATTTACTGGCATATCGAGTGCAGCACTTTCACAGCATCATCTTTTAAGACTTCTTTTAGCTGGAATTCCATCACCTCCACTAGCTTTGTTCATAGTGATGCTTCCTAAGGCCCTCTTGACTTCACATTCCAAGATATCTGACTCTAGGTGAGTGACCACACCATCGTGGTTATCTGGGTTGTGAAGATCTTTTTTGTACAGTTCTGTGTATTCTTGCCACCTCTTCTTAATATCTTCTGTTTCTGTTAGGTCCGTACCATTTCTGTCCTTTATTGAGCGCATCTTTCCTTGAAATATTCCCTTGGTATCTCTAATTTTCTTGAAGAGCTCTCTAGTCTTTCTCATTCTGTTGTTTTCTTCTATTTCTTTGCACTGATCACTGAGGAAGGCTTTCTTATCTCTCCTTGCTATTCTTTGGAACTCTGTATTCAAATGGGTATATCTTTCCTTTTCTCCTTTACTTTTTGCTTCTTTCAACTCCTTGCCAAACTTTAATCTCTTGGAATCCAACAGGGTGTGAAATCTTTATTTGTAGACTCTTGGACAATAAACTGTGATCTATGATGTTATAGATGTTTCTAATCTAATGCATGGTCTTAAGTGTGGTGTTTGTAATTAAAATTCCACCACATTTCATTCTCTCTCGAATATCATAGACTCTTAAAAATAGGGAAAAGTGTAGTTTGTTTATTTAAAATTATGAATCTATATAAAATGTGGCCTGAAGTACATTCCACATTTGATTAGCGTCCATTTGTCTTCTCCACATTTTCCTTTGGGTCAGGTCAAGAGTTGGACTTTTGGAGCTCTTCAAGAATAGGTCAGTTGTGAAATAATTGCTTCCTCCTTTAGAGTCATACATGTTTGTAATCTCAGCAGAGATCCTGAAGTGAAAGCTTTTAAAGATTAACCAGCCATATGGTTCACCTCAGGTTTTCCACGCGGCTTTGTTAGCTCTCCTTCCAAGAAGGAGAAGTTATTGGTACAACTGCTCAGGAACCCAGGGCAAGGGGAGCTGAGGAAAACGGGGGCAGCCGCCCAGCTCAGGGAGGAAGCCTGTGGCTGTCCCCCCAGGAGCAGACAGAGGGCTTGAGAAGATTGCATTTGGAGAATGGGAATTTTTGATGCTGTCATGACTGTGTGCTCAGTTTTCAGTTAATAAATCAAAAGACAAAGATTGAATTCTTTTATTGCAAATAATTACTGCATTTTGATCAGCACTGTTTTTAAGTTTTGTTTTCTTCTCATAGAATGAAGCTGATAGGACCTTGATATACATAACTCTCTACATTTCTGAGTGTCTAAAGAAACTCCAAAAGGTAATTAAGCCTGGATGATCGTTTGTCAGGAACACAATAGGTATTTAGACTTGTTCAGACTTTAAGGAGAAATAGAAAATATTTCCTCTCACTTAGAGCATGGACTTGAGAGGAAAATCTGAATGTAGATGTCTAAACTTACAGTAGTTGACTAATGAGAAGATAAGGATGATGGTGTTTTAAGGCTTTGCATATATTTTTCCAAGACTGAAATCTTGACCAAAATATTCTTTTTTCAGCCCATGGCTCAAGCGTTCTTAACCTGGGGTCCAGGGATAGAATTCAGGGGTACATGAACTTGAGTGGAGAAAAGATTACATCTTTTCACTAACCTCCAACTGAAGTCTAGCATTTACTTTAATTATTAACGTAGGCAGCAACCCACAATAGCATTAGCAATACCTGTGACTTTCTGCTGCATTTTCATACTACATTTAGAATTGAAGATATTTTGAAATTTTATTTACATTCATTACTGCTTCAAAATTCAGTTGTTAGGTCCACTGCTGAGTTTTGTTATTTAGTGCATTAAAGAGCACATGTGTGGCTATGTCATAAGTTTGATTTTTTAAATATTGTAATTATTGTATTTCATTACAATTGGATTCTTGTGTAGTCCTGTTTCATTTTATTCATTTAAAAGGTTAGTCTGAGGAGGAGCCTACAGGCTTCACCAGATTACAAAAGGGCACAAAATCATAACCCCAGACCTCGCCACTTAGACTAAAAAAACTGCAAATTGAAATGTTATATCCCTTTTCCCATTTGTGTATATAATTTTTTTTTTTTTAAGTGCAATTCTAAAAGCCAAGGCGAGAAAGAAATGTATACACTGGGAATCACTAATTTTCCCATTCCTGGAGAGCCTGGTTTTCCACTTAATGCCATTTACGCCAAACCTGCAAACAAACAGGAAGATGGTAAGAACATCTCTTCCCCCTTCCTATGTGGCACACAGTTTTCTCCACTGGACTTTTTACCCCCCTCCTTTTCTTAACTTGATTGTTGTACAGGTTGAGAGTGGAATCATTATCTCATGCACTATCCTACTTTGTGAGAGTCACTCTCACAAAAGATCCTTGGCAACAAGTATGACACGTAGAGAACCTTTTGGACCAAAATATGTATAATCTTAAAACCATTTGAACTGCTATTTCTATTTCTTACCCTGTTCATATGTTGAAGAATATTGCCAAGGTCGGTGTCTAAATCAACAGCTAGCACATTTGGGATGCTTTCTCAAATATAATTTTTTATTTTACCTGCTCTTGATTTTAGAAGTGATGAGGGCCTACTTACAACAGTTGAGGCAAGAGACTGGACTGAGACTTTGTGAGAAAGTTTTTGACCCTCAAAATGATAAACCCAGCAAGGTAAAAACTCTTTTCATTGCCTATTTAGTTGATAAATCACCTTTTACCCTGTAGCCACTGTTAATACACTAAGGTGTTTAGTTTTCACATTGTAGTATTGCTTAACTTTGGTACCTTATACATAGCAGGAGTTCCCTGAGTCACAGAGAATAATGAATTGCATGTAATAAGAAATGTTGGTTGTATGTTCTTAGGTTGGGGCATTGTAAACCAATAGAACGGGTATTGTGTGAGACCGTTTTAATGTAGTTATTTTGTTGTCGTAATTTTGAGTGACCTGTGAGTCACTGCAGGAAAAAAAAAAGAGAGAAAGGAAGAAAGAAAAAAAAAGTGAATTTTACATGTACCTTCAAAGAGCTTATATAGTGTACGGGCTGCCAGACCACTGTTAAGTTTTCTTGTTAGGTAAATTCATATTCTGGCCTCACCTGGAACCTGCACTGTGATTTGACCACCGCTGTCCTTGTCTTGTCCCCCCTTCTTAGTGGTGGACTTGCTTTGTGAAGAGACAGTTCATGAACAAGAGTCTTTCAGGACCTGGACAATAAAGCAACCTCGGGTGGACCCTGGCGCCACGGCCGTGGGCAGCATTCACAGCAAGATGTACACAGTTCTTTGCCTTTATTTCATAAAGTTTTATACAGAGGAGAGAAGAGCGTGTGTCGTTACTTGAAGAGCTCTTTATCAAGAATTTGGGGTGGGATGGGTGGGGAAGAATGAGTTGTTGCCTGGTGATTTGAAATGTCTGTAGTATTAAGCTGGTGCTTAATAAATAATAATAAAGAAATTTCTAACATTTCATGTCAGAAGAAATCCATTGCTTATTTTTGACATTTACATAAAAATTTGGGGAACTGTATTCACCTTTTTCAAGTGTACAATTCAGCAGTTGATAATACATTGTTGTTGCTGTTCAGTCACTAAGTTATGTCCATCTCTTTGCAACCCCATGGACTGCAGCACGCCAGGCTTCCCTGTCCTTCACTATCTCCCAGAGTTTGCTCATATTCATGTCCATTGAGTCAGTGATGCCAGCCAACTTTCTCATCCTCTGTCGCCCCCTTCTCTTCCTGCCCTCAATGTTTCCCAGCATCAGGGTCTTTTCCAATGAGTCGGCTCTTCAAATCAGGTGGCCAAAGTATCGGAGCTTCAGCTTCAGCATCAGTCCTTCCAATGAATATTCATGGTTTATTTCCTTTTGTACACTAAGTTTTTCTCATCACCACTAATTCCAGAAAATTTTCACCACCCTAAGAAGATGTACTCTTCAGCAAGCATTCTCCCCAAATTCCTTTCCAACCCCTTCCTCCCACTGTCTCTATGGATTTGCCTTTTCTGGACATTTCACATAAATGGAATTGTAAAACAGGGGTCTTTCCTGTCTTGTTTCTTTGACCCAGGGCAATGTTTTCAAGGTTTGTTCATGTTATAATGTATATCAGTACCTCATTCCTTTTTTTTTAAAAAAAAAATGGTAAAACACTGCAGAAAGGTGACTGCAGCCATGAAATTAAAAGATGCTTGCTCCTTGGAAGAAAAGCTATGACCAAACTAGACAGTATATTAAAAAGCCAGAGACATTACTTTGCTAACAAAGGTTCGTCTAGTCAAAGCTATGGTTTTTCCAGTAGTCATGTATGGATGTGAGAATTGGACTATAAAGAAAGCTGCAGAATTGGTGCTTTTGAACTGTGGTGTTGGAGAAGACTCGAGAATCCCTTGAACTGCAGGGAGATCAAACCAGGCAATCCTAAAGGAGATCAGTCCTAAATATTCATTGGAAGGACTGATGCTGAAACTCCAATCCTTTGGCCACCTGATTGGAAGAACTGACTTGTTGGAAAAGACCCTGATGCTGGGAAAGATTGAAGGCGGGAGGAGAAGGGGATGACAGAGGATGATGAATGGCATCACTGACTCAACGGACATGAGTTTGAACAAGCTCCGGGAGTTGGTGATGGACAGGGAAGCCTGGCGTGCTGCAGTCCATGGGGCTGCAAAGAGTAGAACACAATTGAGTGACTGAACTGAATGTATAACATTTACTATGTTTTAACCACTTTTAAGTGTATAATTCACTGGTATTAATTACATACAGTGTTGTGCCACCATCACCACTATCTGCTTCCAAAACTTTTTTGTTACCGCAAACAGAAACACTAACCATTAAACCCCAGGTACCTATAACTCCCAATTCCTGGTCACCTCAGTGTCAGAATTTACCTTTTCCTAGCACCTCATAGATATGAAAGCAAATAATGTGTATGCTTTTGTCTGGCCTCTTTTACTTAGCATAGGTGTTAAGGTTCATGCATGTTGTAGCCTGTGTCAGTACCTCATTCCCTTTAATGGCTCAGTAATATTCCATTATGTGACTCGACCCCCATCTTATTTGTCCATTCATCAGTGTACGGACATCTGAGTTGCTTCTATTTTTTTTTTTTTTTTTGGCTATTATAAGCAATGCTGTCGAGAACATTCATGTACAAATTTTTGTGTGGACATGTTTCCATTTCTCTCAGTTATATACCTAGAAGTGGAATTACTGAGTCCTATGATAGCTATATTTAGCTTCCTGAAGAACTTCGGGACTTTTTTCCACAGAGGCTGCACCAGCTGTACTGTCTTACACTCCTACCAGCAAAGCATGAAGGTTCTGATTTCCCCACATCCTCACCAATACTTGTTATTTGTTTATAGATATCCTAGTGGATGTGAAGTATCTCATTTTGTAATACTCATGTGAAGTATCTCATTTTGATTTGTATTTCCCTTATGTTAATGATACTGAACATATTTTCATGTGGATATTGACCACTTGTCTATCTTTTTTTGAAAAATGTTCAAATCCTTTGCTTGTTTTTTGTTTGATTTGTCTTTTTGTTGTTGAGTTGTAGGGTTTTTTTTAAATATATATACTAAATACTAGACCCTTATCAGATATGTGATTTGCAGATAATTTCTCCTATTCCATAGGGTTTTTTTTTCTTTTTTTTTATACCTTGAAGGAAATGTTTATTTTCTATGAAGAGCTGTTCCTTTTTAATTGAAGTATACTTAATAGCTCAGTTGGTAAAGAAGCTGCCTGCAATGCAGGAGATCCCGGTTTGATTCCTGGGTCAGGAAGATCAGCTGAAGAAGGGATAGGCTACCCACTCTATTATTCTTGGGCTTCCCTTGTAGCTCAGCTGGTAAAGAATTCACCTGCAATGTGGAAGGCCTGGGTTTGATCCCTGGGTTGGGAAGATCCCCTGGAGAAAGGAAAGGCTACCCTCTCCAGTATTCTGGCCTGGAGAATTCCATGGACTGTATAGTCCATGGGGTCACAAAGAGTCAGATGTGACTTTCACTTTCATAGTTAATTTACAGTGTTCTGTTATATTCTTTTTCATATTCTTTTCCATTATAGGTTTTTACAAGATACAGAGTTAAGTTCACTGTGCTATATAGTAGGTCTTTTTTTTTTTTTTCCCTTGGTTTTGTCTTTTGTAGCACAGATATATTTAATTTTAGTTAAAGCTCATTTGTCTATTTTTCCTTTGGTCACTTATGCTTTTGGTTCATACTTAAAAGACCGTTACCTGTCCCGAAGTATCAGTTTTCACCTATGTTTCCTAAGCATTTTGTACTTTTAGTTCTTACACTTAGGTCTTTTTTTTCCACATTGTAACAAATTTAGAGTAACAAGAAACTTTAGGTCTTTGATCCATTTTTTTAATCAACTTTTGTATATGAAGTGAGGTAGGGGTCTAACTTTTTTTCTTTTGCATGTGACTATCCATTGGTACCAGTGCCATTTATTGAAAAAGACTTGTACTGGCTCCCTCATAGATCAGCAGAACATAAATGTATAGATTTATTTTTACATGCTATTTTCTGTCCTTATGTGGCATTCATTTTTACATTTGGCCAGTTTTTAGCATTTAAGAGGTTTTCATTGTTAGGCTGACAATAAACATGATTTCTTCTAAAAACTTACGGGACCATGTATTTTCCAGGTATGTTAAGGTTATAAATTAGGTATTTTAGAAAGTGCCTCAAGACTTCTGGCCATAAAGTTACTGCACTGCCACTGGGTTAGGAAGATCCCCTGGAGAAGGGAAAGGCTACCCATTCCAGTATTCTGGCCTAGAGAATTCCATGGACTGTATAGTTCATGGGGTCACGAAGAGTTTTACACGACTGAGTGACTTTCACTCACCTTTGTTGTACCTTTATGTGTTTGGTTTTTACTTTAGGAGGCAGTTATTTTTGTATCTATGTTGGAATTGTATTTGGCCACAAGCTCAGAAAACCCAATTTACAGTGCCTTGGGGGTTTTGTTGGTTTTGTTTTTAAATAATTATTCATTTGGCAGCACGGGGTCTTAGTTGCATGTGGGATAGTTGCAACATGTGGAATCTCTTGGTTGGAATGCGAACTCTTAGTTGCAGCATGTGGGATCTAGTTCCCTGACCAGGGATCGAACCCAGGGCCCCCCTGTATTGGGAGCTCGGAGTCTTAGCTACTAAAACACCGGGAAGTCCCTGTTTTTTTTAAATCTGGAAGTAGCCCCAGATGGGGTGGCCATTTAAAGATGTTGTGGAGGGCCCAAGCTCCTCCTATCTTCCCGCTCCACTCTCCTTTGCGTGTGGCTGTCATCCTCATGGTCTCTCGATGCTCCTGCATCTCAGCTCCGCTGAGGAAGAGAGGAGAGCATGAGGGCTGAAGGAGCGTAGCAGCTGAGTGCCACCTTACTTACCTTCCCAGAAATCCTGCCCAGACTTGCACTTGTGTCTTGGTCTCCAGCTACAAGGGAGCCTGGAAAGAGGGAAAGATTGTTTTGTTTTTTAATCTATGTTTGCCGGCACTGGGTCTTCGTTGCTGCATGGGCTTTCCCAAGTCGCAGCGAGTGGGGGCTACTCGTGCCGCATGGGCTTATTGCAGTGGCTTTTCTTGTTACAGAGCGCAGGTTTAGTGCCCTGTGGTATGTGGCATCTTTCTGGACCAGGAATCACACTGCTGTCCCCTGCATTGACAGCCAGATTCTTAACCACTGGACCACCAGGGAAGCCCAAGAGGCAAGTTTTAACTGAGTATCTTGCCACCCAGATTGTATTGTGCTGCTAAGGGCAAAGGGAATGCATATAAAAGCAGAACTAAATTTCAAATGGTATTAAAACTGGAGCTTTGCAGTGAAACTTGATTGACTAGAGAATTTTCATTTTGGCTTTTATGGGTTAAAATGTAATTAAAATGTTTGAGTTAAATTATAAGTCTTGAGCATCTGTTCAATGGAGATCTAAATTATGGACAAAGTTAAGTACCATATTTCACATACCCAAGAAAATGTACTCCATAGAATAGATAAAAGAATAGTCCTGAAGCCAAAAGACTGTTTCTGGGTTGTTTTTGTTTTTTAATTAAAACTCTTATCTCAAATCAGATTCTAGGTGTTTGGGTTGGAACTTCTCTTATAGACTCAGAGAGGTGTCAAAAATAAAGCAAGCCACGGTGATTGATGTCAAGATCAAAGGTTTGTTTCTAACAAATGTGTTTCATTTTTTTTTTAATTGTGGAAACATTGTGATAGAAACCAATTCACTGTGGTGCCTATTTCATTAGTACCAGCAGGGGGAGCACAGACAGTAAGTTAAAAACCTGGCTTCTAAATTATTTCCCATTAGTGCTGTATGATGGTTACGTGTTCTGTTTTTTAACATGCCAGAGAGAACACTTTCCAAAGGATTTAGAAGTAAATTATACATGAAGTATAGCATAATGGGTTCAAAAAATACAGCTTTAATCAAAATGCAATGTTGACATT